ATCAGCTGAAAGTGTGTGTTCACACACGGCGTTGCAGTTGTTGAGTATTACCACTAGGAGCAAGAAGCAACTAGGGGCTCCTGGCCTTACTAGTAGTAACAAGAATCTAGTAGGATTTAATACCTGGAGAATCCTCAGCTGTCTCCCAGGATCCTCCTTCCCTTGAAGCCCGTTACCAACATTTGTTACGAGCATCGGAACAGGATCTACCACTGCCACTGCCGATCCCAGGCCACCTTGATTTTCTGCCTCTCTGTGTCTGCCGTGCTTTGGCAATATATATGGGGCCTGAAGCACTGTCAATGGATCACATGCATATTGTTTTCAAGAGCTGTTTGTTGGTACATGCTTGGTTGTTGTGCTCAATTCATGGCAGCATTTGAGACAGCGACTTCAACAGGGCACATACGGGAATCTTTTGGTGCGAGAGATCGCTGTAATTGTTTGGGAGTGACACAGCAGAAACAGCATTTTTGGCCTCCAACAGACCATGCAACTTGCTTTCACCGTTTCAGGGTCGATTTCTCGAGATCTCAAGCGCTATCAGGTGCCCATCTACAACAAGCTGGTCTTTGCCCAAGGTGTTTATACCCGAGCTGGATCTTTGCACAAATATCCATATCCCATCGCCACTGCCTTTCTCCAATTGGGTGTAGTCTCACTAGTTCTGGCCGTAGTGAACACCGTTGGACACTTCTGCTGCGACCGGAGACTCAGCTGCGCTCTGATGAGAAGCTAGAATGGCTAGCACGAGCACTGATGGACCACATGGAAAAGAACACTGTATGTATCTTAAGATAGGAGTCCCACAAAAAATGAGTTTGTTCATTATCCTTTTCCCAGGGGAGAATGGGATTCTCACACACACACACATATGTTAGTGTTGACTTGTCCAGCCTTCACAGCATGTTACATCAGCCATGAGTGTTGCTGGAAGTTCTGATGTGAAGTTTATTGTCTCAGTATTGCACTGATCAAATAGATTTCAATGTTACTGTAATTGATATTTGATATCAATTGATGTTCTTTTGCACTCACGGTGACATCCTTTTTTGTTCAACTATGCACACCGCATGCTACAGTGGTGCTATGGAGTGATATGGAGATATGGGTCCTGCAGGGCCCAGATCAGTGTGCCCCAGGAATCACTCCTGGATCTTCGGGCCGCATTTCGCATACAAACTGAGACACGTGGCCTGTCATTTGTTTGGTTTGAGGGATCAGTTTCTGAGCTCGCAGAATTGAGAGATGCTAAGCTATGGCATGTTACTGTTGTGATTCTCTTGAACCTTTGACGAACTATGCAGACCATGCAACCCATGTTGAACCTCTGGACGCCTTTCGGTGTTTGCAACGGAGTTGCGGAGTTCCAACGGCTTGGAGTAGCGAAGCCAGATGAAGTCAGACTGGGAGATACCGCCATCTAGCCCTTTGGGTTGAACCAAGTATTGTGGAGAGCAAACGAATAAAGGGCCGTACAGGGATGCTGAAAGGGAGGGACAGTTTACAAATAGATGCACAATCCTGGAGAAAAAAGGCGAAATCTTTTTTTCTTTCGAAGGCGGTTCAGTGGGGCCAGTCAAGTGTAGTCGCAAATTTCCAAAATTTCCTTGCTGAAAGGACTCTGTGAATGAATGTCAGGGAAACAGTTGGAAAGCGACATACAACATCATATACTGTAATATATTGTATAAGTAATTAACTATAGGTATAGTACATGTGTGAATTATTACCAAAGCTACCCGTGAAGGATATTCAAGCTATATAGACCCGTGGACTCACATGCTGCAGGAGTTTTTGGCAGAATCTTGAAACTATGAGTGAAGAGGCAAAGTGATATCGCCCCCAAGTCCCACTACTTGCAATCTTGGATAGTGACTTTAGCAAAAATAGATGGCAGCTCACGTCACAGCTCGCATTGATTTGATGCAACAGGCTCTGATGCACAGGCCATTACCCTGTTACTTGATGTTCCAAGTTTGGGTGCTGGCCCGTTTCATCCGAGGTGGCCCCTGTGGGTATTCTATTTGGGCTGAAGTATGGCATCACCAACTGGGGTTTGCAGCTGGTGCCTGTGGGCCGCTTGTGTGACAAGAGAGGAATGTAGGGATTTATTCTCATCGAAGGAGGAACCTTGTGAAATTGGAATTTCAAGGAAGACCATCAGAGGCGGAAGTCTCTGGATTCTCTTTGGTGTTTGGTCATGGAAAACATGTGCGAAACATGCTGGATGGTATTGCAAACATGTGGTAACTGGTCAATGAGATCTGTGTTTGCAACATAGTTTCGTAGTCAGTTGCAGTAGACAATTTGGCCCGTTCTGTCCATCAATGAAGGGCTTTCGACCGCATCCGCTCTACAGCATACCCGTGCAAGACGAATGCGTTGACATCGGAACTGCACATGACCAGCATGTAAAGCGGTGGTTCCATCTTCCTATTGGGGAGTGTCACCCTCTTGTCGATGGATTCTGTGATTTTACTCTCAGGTATTCACCTCCTCCTCCAGTCCACAGATGTGATATGGACAATCTTGTTGGCTGCCGTGGTCAACCATGAGGACAGTGCCTGGATAATTGAAAATATTTGCAGCAGCACGGCGACCAACTTGTAGACTGCCGGACTGTTCCTTCAGCGGGGCAGAGTGAAGGTGTTTGCAATCGACCAGAATAAGAATATAGTACTATCCGTGTTTGTTCGGACCTTGCCATGCTCCGATTGCCGGTTCCAGTCAAGCACGAAGCGCGATGATGTACGTGCCAACCCGTTTCCACCCTCTCTGCCGCACTCGGGTAGTCGCCCCTCACGCAAGCGGCCCCTTCAGCTCCATTGTCCGTTTTTTTTGCAACCTGTGACTTGTGGTGATCGAGCAGTCCCGTTCAGCTCCGCATAACACTGGACAAACCAACCTTCTTAGTCCGCCAAGCTATCCACCAAGGGGCCTAGCCACCAAAGACTCGTCAAATTGTTTGGTTTGGCAACTTGGCCTCTATCATTCGGGACTTCGCTGGCCATTGGGCATACTTCATATTTTCTGCGTTCGAAGGCTCACCAATCACTCTAGAAGTGCAGTTGCCTGTGCAGAATTTGTCTTCCCTTGCATTAGTGTCAATTGGCTTTGGAGAAGCTTCATGTTGAAGAGCTTTGGAATCATCGAACTTTGACCCTCCGTCTTGAAATGACATCCATTGAACAACATGAAACTCTGCAGTAGACATATAGTATAATAAAAAGTGGAGGTGTATGTAATATTACGGTAGCATGTAAATGTAAATATAATTAACTATTAAACTATTTAATTTACAGAAATAGCAATGTGGCCATAGGGCTGAGGTGCTTCAGGCTGTGTTTCTGCACTGCGCAGGACATTGGGCTCGTGGAAGTGCTCGCAGCAGTGCTGTCGGCTGCAGGCCATGCACGGCTGGTGTGTAGCTTCTTGCTCCTAGTAGCGATGCCCTTTGCTACTAGTAGCGTCCTTGTTCCTAGTAGTAAGGCCAGGAGCCCCTAGTAGCGTCCTTGCTCCTAGTCGGCAAATTGAACATCACTAGCCACTATACTCCCCGAAGCGGTCTCGGGTTGGTTAACTAATCAAGGCACGAGAGCACCTTCCAACAGCTCGGAGGCCAACTCGGGTTGGTCAACTCCCCGACTTTGATGCTGTGCTGGTGCAAAGTTTAGGGTTTCACCACACCCAGAGCCAGTCCAGTCCGTATATAAAGGTTCCATACTTCTTTGTCAACCACGGCACTGATGGATGGTGGTTCTTCTACACTCTTCAAGTTTGCACTCGCAATGGGCCTGGAGTCCATTTTGATCCCGGCATGGCTGAGAGGTGCTTCGCAGTTCTTTTTCGACTGACCGTTTCTGGCATTCTTTGGCGATGACCCCCATGGTGTCATAAAACCAGGTAACAGTTCAACCCCCACACACCTTCCTGCGGCACAGGGTCATGTTTGATCGGACTTCATGCAGTGCATACGCTGGAAGCTCCATTCATTCCACTTCTGGCAATGGCCTCAGATTGGTCACTGTGTTGCGTTGTTTGCGTTCGTTGTTTGTCCATTTAAAGACCCATGTGGCCCATGCCCATGAATCCAAAAAGCACCTGTTAGCTTTGGATGGAATTCAATGAATCATTCAATCGCTTTTCGGGTACAGTATAGTAGCTCTGAGTAGCAATGAATGACACTGTAATGGCAAGGCCTGCTTTCAGTGCTTTTATGTCAGTTCTGCGCTTCACTCAGACGACTGCACGGTGCACAGAGCCTTCCATCCTGTTTGACGTCCATATTGATTAGTTGGTCCCTTCCCAGATAGATGGAGCAGATAGAAATGCAGACGGGCACGCCAAGAAATCCTGGCAAATCTTCAGATGGCGTCACTTTCGAGCACTCAGCGCTCGCCGTTGAATTGAGAACCTGGACTATTGACCAGCCCCTCCATGCCGGCAACCCCGCTTTCAACTTTAGAAGCTTTAGAAGGTGTTGATATTTGCACCTGCTCCTGAGCTGCTCCTCAGCGTTGACCAAGTGAAGGTACAACGGCTCAATCCGGCGGATCACGAAACATGACGTTGGGAACCGCCAGCAGAGAAGCGTGAGGATTGCGGCCCTTCATTTTGGTCTGATAGCAACAAAAGCTCAAGTATGTCAAGACGACGTCAAGTAAGTCCAGTTGTCGAAAAGAAGCCAAGCACTGGCACTGGCTCCCCCCAAAATCAGTGGACTATCATCACGTCCAAGTCTGCTTGCCAGCTGTTGAAGGGTTGCGTTGATGGATGTTGATGGTGATCTTCCATGATTTGCATCATTTTTGGACGTTCATGGTGGACTTCTAAACAACATCCACCAATTATTTCACCTGTTTTAAATTTGTTTTCCATGTTCTTTTAGATTGCAAGGTCAATTTGCTGCCGCCCTTCCTTTTGGCGCTTTGTGTCTCAACCCTGCGCACGGGCGCGTCCGAGCTCTTCCGGCTGGATAACCGCCTGGAGGGCAGCATCACACCGACTGTACTTGAGCCGAATAGCCCCCGTCGCCCGGTAACTTGATGTATCTTGTATGATCCACGTATTGGAATCTAGAATAGGCTAATTACTAGTACCTATGATCCTCTCGCCTGAATGGCAACTCTTTCAGGGGTGTGCTAGTTTGAGACATGTCTTCATGACCTGAAGGGGGTGTAGGCTTGTCAGTTTGACGGGATGGATGATAAGGATGTTTTTGGTCGGAGAGCTATCTCTTCAGCAAAGCTGCTTTGTCGTCTTGGGGAGTTTTTGGATGTTTTCCCTCTTGGTGCTACTGAAGATTGTTGGCAGCCCAGCTGTTCAGGGGTGTTCGTGACAGGACTTGAGACATTCTATCCCAAGAGGTTCGTTATTTTTCTTTGGGGCCTTGATGCTCGTGCGCTGCATTTTGTTTCGAATTCCCCGCTGCACCTCGGAGTGATGTTACAGGGTCTTTCTTGCTTTGACTTGGTCTTTCTTGCTTTGGCATGCTCACACAATGCGAGGAATTTACATGTCTCAAGCAGCTCGGTTGCAGACCATGGATTCAATGCCTCACAAATTAACATGATTGTGCAAACAAGTATGACAAGCTTGTTTTTTGCTTCTGAAATTGTCTACGCAGCACCCAGCGAATAATAGTGCATCTCAATGGTGAAGTGAAGTACATAACAGATGCAAGAAAGGATGGTCCAGCAGAGGCAGTAACCTGACAAAGTTTGAAGGCAATACTGGCACAGCTCAAGGAGCCAGCTTCAATGCAATTGACCAGAAGTAGGGACCATGATGTTTCTCCTGGTTTGCTGATCCTATCAGAGAGGGAAGCTGGGCAGTGCGTGTTTGTGCAGGCTGATGTTGAGGGATGCACTTGGTCAACTTGTGGTCAGGGAGCGTGAAAGCCCATCGGTTTGTGTTTTCTCGATGTGCCAACCGTCTACTGTATGACTTGTCACAATCGATGTCATCCACCAGACACGAATCTTGCACATGGTGTGTTGGTGAGGTCAATCAGCACACCCATAAGCCCGGCTTACATTATTGAGACACTTGCCATCACGCCATTAGTCATGCTACTGTATTTCTTCGTGAGTAGGCCCGTTCTTTAAGGCTGGCTTTGAGTTCCATCACCGCCCTGGCTTTTGCGATGCTGTGTGAGCACGGCAGCTCCGAGCACGACTCTTGGTGGGAAGCACTTCTGGACGAGAGCCCCACGGGGCTACAGCTGATGTTCTTGGGTTGTATTTTTGTGCTGGTCTTCCAGGCCGGTGTCAACGAAGCTTCTGACCGGACCTTTTGTTCAGGGGAACGATCTCACCAGCCGAACATTGCATGCAGTTTTTCTTTGTGGTAGAAGCACATAGAACCTTCATTAGAACCTTTCAAGGATGGTTAGGAGATTGGTAGAACATGGTAGAACCTTCCATGGAGGTCTTCAGTCAAAGCAGTACCACCGGTCCGAGCCATCCACCTGCAGTCAAAATCGCACCCCAAAAAGCGATGAGCATGGCAGAATCGAAGCCCTGCAGGTGAATCTCACTTGGTTGGCAGGGCTGACCTCGGCCGCCACGGTGGGCATTATTGGAGGAGCACCTTGGTACCACACGGTGGGACTGTGCATGGTCCTCCCTTTCACAAGTGCTTGCAATGTGGTAAGTCGCTGGAGTAGGGGATGATGCTGGGAAGAGATAGCTGATTGCAGCTTAACTGATGCACAGGACTGGACACCTGCCACGTTGAGAGGTGCTAAATGGTGTCAGTCGAGGGTTGGAGAACGGCATTGCTGGGCACTGAGGTAAAGGTGATACCTCAGTGGTCAATGAATGCCCTCTTCCAACTGAAGGCATGGTCGCAGGGGTGTACAGAAGCTGCGTCTCTTGATGAACAAGACATCCTAGCATTTCCTAGCTCAATTTGGTGATGGGCTGCAAGTACTTCATCGAACCTGTTGCGAGGACCTTTGAAACGTGGTCATTGCCAGTTTCAGAGTGTGACCACATTGACCTGCCGAAAGATTGTGCAACAGATCATCATCCCCCCCACTGATCTTTGGTGCACAGGAAGCGGGGCCTCGTAGGTCAGACCGAATTTAGGAAGCCCCGCTTGGAGACTGACCTCTACGCCGTCCCGTCCTTCGTCGTGGCAGGTCGACTTGTCTCCCTTGAACATCGGTGGAGCGATGCTTGTCCTGGTGGGCTCCACGCTCTATGCCGCGGCGAGCGGCACATCCAAATTGGTGGTTCAGTGTGAGGAGAACCCATTGACTGTTTCAATCAGGCCATGGATGGCACGGGGTATGACGGGTCTGTTTTTCCAGGCGACTGAGTCAAGTCACGTTTGAGAAGTGCTTCTGCCCAAGTTTCTTCAGGCTTCCTGTACGCTCTTTACCCTGGTGTTTGGTGGCTTCCCAACCTCGTAATTAATTGGGTTAAGGTAAGCCAAGCTAACAGAAAAGTACCACAGGTTTACGTACTTTGCGAATTGTTTAAACTATATATATATGTATATATTGAAGCATCAGAGCACCTATAAAACCTTCAACAACACACCCTTTGAAGGTCTAGCAGCTTTGTTGCAAGATGTGGGTCATCGGTTCTTGGTGCTGGATGTCGACAAAGCGAATCCACCACCGGAGCCAGGAGATCGCACAAAATGTGTCTCAAGCACTACTGCGGTTATCCGGAGTTGCAGAACATGGGGACTGTAGCGGTCCAAGGTATTCCGTCACCACAAAATAGCAGTATATAACCATCATTGCTGTGGATGTAGGTGGCAAGGCTATGTTGGGATGTCAATCACTTTAGGCATGGGACTTAAAGCCCTCAAGGGACCCTTCAAGCATAGCTTCCACTTATTCTGAAGGTTTTCAGATTCCATTTGCATCAAGAATGCTTCATGCATTGATCCTGATTCATCTCGACACTTGAGATGTTCGAACAACAGACTTCAATGGTGTGCAGATTGAATAGGTGGGAGAAGCGCCCGTTGGACCTAGAAGAGAAGCTCTTGGAGCCTGGAAACGCCACGCAACTGGAGCTCAAAGATTACAGAAGCTGGTCGAATTGACTTGTTCACATGTCAGTTGATTCTGAGTTGGAGAAGACTTTGTGTCTGAGTGTTGGTTTGTCTCAGACGATAGCTCCACAACATTCTGACTGATGAATCTGTCCACATCTCATACATGGCATCGTTCTACAGGCAGAAACCACATTTGATCCAACCTGTCTATGGTTCCTTGAAGCTTTCTAGTAACTAGAAGCTGCTAGGTGGAGGCCATCGCAGGCCATCGCTATTAGGTTGCAGGCCATCGCTTTTTAGGTCTTTGAAGCAAGTCGTTGCCGCCACATTGAGCCCTTTTACTTGCTGTTAGATATCGAATATGCATGCAAACGATGTGCCTTACAGCCCATGACTTGACGAGAGTGTCTCCCTTTGTGTTGTGACATGTTGCAGCCGTTCCAAGGTCAAAGTCCCATGTCTTCTTCACCACGCCTGGGGTCTTGCTCGACGTGGCCACGCCTTCGCAAAGGGTATGAGGCTCATGGTCTTCTAAACGCGCAACAGCGGTTTCCAGACTGGAAAACGCACATCAACATGGACCCTCCAACCGACCAAGTCAAAAAGACGGTTGCTTGTTTGGGAACCCTGATTTTTGATCGTACCTCTTTTGGATCGTCGCTTCTGACAATTGGGGGATTCCAGGCATAGGGAAGCGAAGATTGTCATCAATCCTCTTTAGTCTTCAGACCCTTTTTGCATGGTATCTTGAATAGCTATTAGGTGGAGGCCATCGCTGTTAGGTTTCTTTTCTTTCTGTTGTCTTTCTTTTGTTTGCATGGTATCTTGGTGCAGCACATCAACACCCTTAGCTTGTGACCCTGACAGCTTCAACTCCTTTACAGATTAGATTGAGCGGAATTGAATCTGACAATACTGGAGCCATGTTGCTGGCACACCATTGAATGGTTGAAATATAGGTCCAGATGACTAGGAGTTGACTATCGAGTAGGTCCATCTCATCAGACCCTAGTATAGACGGATTGGTTTGGTCAGCGGAGGCAACCCGTGGACTGGACACGCCCCAAAGCCTTCGGTCAGGTGCCGCCGTAAGGAGACTGGCCAACTTGAGTTTGCCTAACTAGGCAGGCTGGCGCTTCGGACGAAGGCTGACAGCCTCCTTCTACCAAGTGTGATGCTACGGTTCGCTTGGGCGCCGAGGTTGCCAACTTGGTTCCAACATGCTCTGGCTTTATGCCTGTGTATGTAGCGCGCTGCGGTGCTCAGACCTTTGATCACACATACATGAACCTCAAGAGCCGGTAGGACCCATTGAGTGTTTTCATTGGATTGAGGGTCAATGCACTTTGACTTTGGGGATGATGAGTCAGTCAACTACAGTACACCCCTTGGCGAAACCTGAAAGAAATTCCAAGCCCTGTTGTGTTGGTGTCGTTTGCCCGCCAGATTTTTCTTCATGGTTTTTCTCTTTCATTTAGTTGCTTTCTTATCCCATGTAGTTCTGCTACTTTGTAATTAGCATTTTAGCATATTTTAGCTCTGATCTAGTTTGTTTCAATTTTGTGAAACCTTCCTTCTTCCTTGTCAATCCATCTATGTACATCTTTAAGGTATTCTGGGATGCCAAGAGGGCAATCTGACTTTTCTCGGTACAACAGGATGATTCTGGGACTGCCTTCAATAATTTCAACTAGGTAGCTAGGTTTTCAACTATACTTTTGCATAAGATTTACAAGATGTTGCGAGACGCTCTGGACAGGTATAGTGTCATTGGTCCATTTGTTGGCAGAAAGATCTCATTGTCATCATCCTACTGAAAGAGCGACACGTGCGGCAGGTTTTGGGTAGTAGTGGAAGTTGAGACATATGACGAGAGTCGCACAGGTGCAGTTTCAATCGCGGCGTTCAAGGTTGGAGGCCATAGCTATTTCTATTGTATGGAGTCAATGGAGACCTTCTTTCTAGGTCATTGGCACTGAACCGCAGCACGGGATTGCACTCGTCTTTAGAGTTGACGAGCCCAAATTTTAATGTTCCATTCGTGTCAGCTCGCCGTTGCGCAAAGCGGAATTTGGAGTGAGTTGTAAGATGCAGAGTCAGCTGAAGCACTTCACCAGCTTTGAAGTTGAACCTAAAGAGCTGTGAATCCATTCCACACCGCCACATTGAATGGCTTGTCAGAAGTACTGTAGTTGACAAATAGTATATATATATATATTTAGTTATATATAGTCATATCCAGAAGGAGTCACAGAAGGATAACTATATTTCTAGCTGCAGAACATATCAGAAACATGATGAGTCTTCGAGGTAATTATCCGATGAATCGGGCCTGTCATTCGCCTCCATGCCCACATGTCATGCACCCCAAAGCCTCGATTTGAAGCTTGAGTCAGCTGAGGTGGATGTCGCTTTTCCGCACCCTGATGACCCTGGAAGACCCTGAACAACCCTGAATGACTTCAGATGAGTTTAAAACTGTTAGTGTCGGAGAGGTAGGAAGTAGCTGATGTGACCACCGACTCTGTGGCCGTGGCAGCTAGGGTCCAGAGCCATCGCATCCATGAGAGGAGTTGATAGGGCACAAACTTAAAAGGTTAAAAGGCACAAACTCAAAGGGTTTTGATCAGCTTGACCGGTCATCACCCGACATTTAAGCGTCCTTTGTGTCCAAGGTTCGACTGAAGGTGACCACCCTCAGTCGATATGCAACTCTTCCTCCAACTCAGCTTTGGAGCTCGTGGTTTTAATCAAACAATAAGTCGCCCCACATTACTAGTGTTACCCTCCAGCATTTGTGGACTCTAGACATATTGAATTGGCAATACCATGCCATGCAATGCTTTCTGTTGCTGTTGCAAGATGGTTTCCAAAAACAGGTCCGCCTTCGTCTAGGCCCGGGTTGCTGAATTGGAAGTGGAATGGGCTACGTTTGTTGGGTTTGATCGACCTCAGGTTGGGGAGATTGTTTTTTTTGCTTTTCTCCACAGGGCCTTGGACTAAGCTGCGACCAGCCAAGCTAGGATCCGCCGAGAAAGAAGCGTGCTTAAGTCGGTTCGGCCTGCTTAACCAGCTATTGTGCGATCAAATTTCATTACAGAACTGACGTTTCCATACTGTGGCGTTCTTGCTGTTCACTTTTCGTTCTTTACTTGTTGTCTCTGTCTTGATCGCTGTCGTCTTTGTCTCTGCTGTCGTTGCTGCTCTTCTTGTTGTCGTTGTTGCTGCTTGTGGTGGTCGTAATGGGAATAGTTGGTGATCAGAATCATTCCCGGCTGTGACTCGTTGGTCTACGGGCATCAATGCATCCATATCATTTTCACGGGTATCATGATGGCGAGGTCGCCTTCGGACAGGATTCAGATGATGCAAAGCCACGAGAGCTTTGCAGAGCAACTGGTGTGGGCACCCAAGTTTCAGCTTGGCCGCGAGTAGCCACACATTCGGTGCCCAAGTCTGAAAGTGAGCAGCCCGGAATGGACAGCAAACCAGAGTTTAACTTGAAAGCGCACAGTCCAGAGAGTAGCCCAGAGTTGGAGTACCTCACCACAGTATCCACAGTACAGCAGTACTGCAACTTGATTGTGGTTGGATACAATGTGCCATTATATAGCTCACGAACCGGACCATCATGTTCTCCATCCGTGTGTAGGCCATTCCTTCTGTGCGTTGTTTTGGTGTGAGCCAGTCTAGTATGGATTACCAAGTCTGGCATTCACAAGGGCCGATGAGGCAGCGTTCTTGGGATTCTTCTTTCCACTGGCATTGAAAAGAAAAGGGACGAAATCCAACCCGCTCCTGGGTCCTTTTTCATATGTGCTTGGTCCCCCTGCACCAGTATGTTGGCCGTGTACTTCACTTCGATTGAGGGGAAGCTCACCTTTCGTATCAGGCTGAAGTGCAAGAGGCCAAACGAGCCCTGGCGCTGGAGGCTGGCGGATATGGTGGCAGGTTCAACCAACATCAACCAACTCATACAGGAAGGCCCTGTGCTCTTCTCTGCATGCTGAATCCTTGGCCCAATCAGAAGTGTTTTTGCAAAAATTGATAGAACCGGTGCTGCAACGTTGCAAGGCCGAACACAGCCGACAAGCTCAACGTCTCGAGCTGGAAGGCTGGAACACCGACCAAGGATTCATTGATGTGAGTTGTGAGAAGGTTCCCAGACCCAGTCATAGTCCATTTATCAACGGCCCCTCTTCTTGGATGAAAAGGATGTGGTAGCAGGGATGTATTGCCGGGATGTATCAAGACTGTGAAAGCAAGGTCGTTTCGCAGAAGTGGTGCCGTGGCGCATATATATATATAATGTGGAATTGACAGTTGGTAGCAACAACTTGCAAACAGCGCACCTAGCGCTAAGCAACTCAACTAGCAAACAGCGCACCTCACGCAGAACAGACCCCTTCTGTTTTCCGCCGCCTCTGCTTGAACGAATGCCGGTGTCCTCACCAGCCTGCGAGTGCACGTCCTCGTGCCGCCAGCTCAAAAGACCATGCAAGGCCAGCCCACGCCGCCCGACGACCTCGTGCCTAAGGTCTGCGGATGCAGAAAGAGCTTCCTTCGGACATGGTTTGGAAAGGTTGGAAATTCACACTCCCGAAAAATCTACTCTCGGGGAAAACATCGTACCCCAAAAAACATTTAAAAAAAAATAAGTTATGTTAGTGGCCCGGGGCAAGAGCATGCTGGAAGCGGTCTATGTTAAGGGCACCTTGCTTTTTTGAAGGCTACAGGAAACGGTGTATGTTAGCTGCAAATTGGACCCTTACGGTGGTCCATGTTAATTGCACAATCAATGCGCTGTGCCAAACAAAATGTTTGCTGTCTCTTGGATCCAGCTATGCACAATGCACAGCAGCAAGTTGAGTGTTGAAAAAAAGGTACAGTACAGTCAGTACTTTAATGAATCCTTCAGAATGAATCATTCATTGATGCCGGTATTGCATGGTCTATGCTGGCATTCTGCTTCGGGGTTTAGTTCCAAAGCCATGGACCCACCTGACACCATGGCCTTGAACGGCAGTGACACAGAGCTGGCTGGGGAAATGCCAGACACTGAATTTGATGCATCTTGGCTGCCTGTAATGGTGCTGGGTTGGTTTCAGAGGTCCTTGCATGGAACATGTGGCAAACGAATAGCAATGTTTGGGAGCACTTGGCTTCTCACTGCTTTGGTTTTGTGCAGGTGGCGACTGACACTACACCAAACCTTCCTCCGAGAAAGAAGTCCAAGAAGAAGCAAACCACTGGGATTGCCTTGACGGAGAGTGGTGATCCTTATGTTTGTGGGTGGCCTTCTTCAAGGACTCCAAAGGAAATGGCCCGTACACTGAGCCAGACTGTGGAAGAGGCTGCAGATTGGTGCCCCAAGGCCCCACATGTTGACACACAGTCAATGTAATTAGAGCTCTCCTGTAGCTTTCAGAACACAAGGGGGCCCTTAACATGGACCGCTGTCCACATAAATTTTGTTGAGGTAAGATATTTTCCAGGAGTAAGAGCGTCAGGGTGGATACTGCACGAGTACTGTTTTGTCTAGAGCTGCTGTACTGGCAAAAACGAGTCAAAGAGAGTATACTGTATTGTTCCATGATGTGTTCTGTACTTCTGCACCTTCTGCACATGTACTGTACTGTAGACAATTCTGCCAGGCAGTTGCAATGGCTGTGGACTATGCAGGGGTGTTTCAGCACTACAAGCCACTGCTGACTTCGGGCAAGACCCTGACAGTCTCATCAGGCTTCTCTGGGCGACTTGATGGCCTATTGTTTTAGTACTGTACTACTGTATGTTTTTTTCAGCTGCAGTGCAATACTGAGGGGGTTCTTTGTTTAAAGAAAGGTTACTGTACTGTACTGTATCTTTGCAACCCGCCTCCCCAAGGATTGATGCAAGTGCTCGAGCATGCAAAATCCTTGAAGCACACAATTGTGGAGCGACTTTCAATATAGACACTTGGCCTGAACCAGCACTACTGCAGCAAGAAACACACAAGCACACGTTAACGTAGAACACAAGGAGCTCATTCTTTGGAAGTGCTGGCTGTGCCTCAATGCAAATATACAGTCTCTGGAAGGATTGAGGCCATTTGTGGGGGGACCCCTTTCTGAGGCCAAAAACGCTATTTCTTAGGCATGTTTAGTAGAGGATGTTATAGAAAATGTTAACCAATTCAATTTTGAAGTTTTTTGTTGACAAGATCTTTCACTTGTTGGCCAGTGGCCAGTACTATGACTGCACTCAATAAAGGCAGAAACACCACAGCCTTAACATAGAACACGCGGGGGCATTTCCGGAAAGTACCCTACCTGAATGCTGCATATCTTGAAGGATTGAAGCCATTTGTGGGGGGACCCCTTTCTGATGACCAAACAGTGATTTTTTGGGTGCAGTTTAGTAACGGATTTTATACAAAATGTTCACCTGTTCAATTTTTGAAGTTTTTGTTGACTAGACTTTCACTTGTTGGCCAGTAGCCAATACTGTACTCAATAAAGGCAGAAACACCACAGCCTTAACATAGAACACGCCGGGGCATTTCCGGAGAGTACTCTACCTGAATGCTGCATATCTTGAGGAATTGAAGCCATTTGTGGGGGGACCCTTTTCTGAGGCCAAAAAAGTCATTTTGGGTGCTTTAGTTTGTTAGCAGTTTAGTAAAGGATTTTATACAAAATGTTCCAGGGTGTGTTTTTCCTTTTTGGTTCACTCAGTGTACTTTTAGTACAGTAGGTAGCCCACTTTAGACTACAATCACAAGTGCTGTGCTGTACTGCAAGAAGAGGAGCTAGTACTGTACCATTACTGTATTGGAAGAATCGCATACACACACACGGCGTTAACATAGAACACGGGCTAACATTTCTGGGGAGTACTCTACCTCAATGCAGCTTGTAAATACTCAGTTCTGTAAGACAGACAGCCAGTACCAATACTGTATTGAAAGAAACAACGCATTGTTAACATAGACCATGGAGTGACATTTCCGGGGAGTACACTATCTCAACGCAGCTTATCTTATGTAGGTCTACTGAGCTGTATATTCAATGACGGTGTTTGCTGCGCCTGAATCTACCGTAGCTTTTTTTTGCTTTACAATGCTGTGTGAATGAATTCAGCCATTTCTGAGAGAGCCCGTCTCTCCTGTGGAGGAAGCACATGCATGGAGCCACGTATGCAAGGAATGTTTGAAGCTCGTGCATGGGACCATGGTGGTGAGAGGTGTTTTGCTTCTCAAGTGAGTCGTATCACTTTATCACACTGAGCCATAAAAACCTCAATGACTCAAGTCTAGTGTTCTTGTATACATATTTACTCTATATGCATGTAACATATAGTAGTGTTGGTTGGCTGCAATTACCATGGCACGCAAGTGGTGCAAAGGCTGCGCAAGCAGATTTGTACAGGCACCATTTCTCATCAGTGGCATGCAAACCATCAGTCAGGGAATAAAAAAGGGCCGACTGGAATTGTCCATGTCTCTGTTAATTTTGGCACTGGGCATGGTTCATGTTAATGGTATTTGCGGCTCTCACACTCCAGGATTTTGCCATGTTAATTTTCCACCCCCTAACATAGACCTATCTTTGACGTTCCATGTTAGTTGCCGTCCTTTTGTCTCAGACAATGACCAGCCAGAAAGTGGCCGTGTGTTTCCCCAGGAATTCACCGGTTACCGTGTTCCATGTCAAGTGTCCCTCAAAACAGAAATCTGTTCTATGATATTTTCCTGGGGTGTAAAAACTCTGTTTTTCTTCTTCAAGAAGGTCTTCGGAAGCATGACCCGTGGATAACCACTGCATTCGGGCTCGATGATCTGCTCTTTGCCTGAAGTTCAGCATGAAGCTGGTATCGACCCTGCTGTAGGGTGTGCCGGAGAAAATGACTCTGCATAACTTTCGTTAATGCATCAACCAGCTGAGCCCCCGTGTGTACCCAACGCAGTGTCACGCCTTCAGCTAACATGTCCTTGATTGCCCTGGCCTGGAGTTGTGTCCTAAACTCTTGGCAGTTTGGCTGGGCCGTTCTAGATCAAAAAGAGATTTGCAGTCTGTCACTGCTACTGATGTGGGAAGTTGTTGGGCTAAGGGCTAAGTGGGTTGTGGATGAAATCGGGGCATGGCTTTCTTGGAATACCTTATGTGGTTGCTTCCAGTTCAAGTTCGTGTTCAGGAGCCACCCCCCAAAAGAGCCGAAGCCACGACATCTGGTCTAAGCTTGTCTGGAGGGATGTTGTCTCTGCCGATAGGGTACTGGTCACTACCTTCTGAATCTTTTGGCAACCCCACGATAAGGGACTTACAGCACATTGGTAATTGTCACTGATGTTCTTATGGGTTGCCATGATGATTACCCCAGTGTGGCTTTCGGGACTTTTGGCTGATGCAGAGGATGCATCTGAGAACATCAAAAACCTCAGGTCTTTGATTGGGATCGGCTGGATTCGAATTTGAGTGTCCTTATATCTTTGGCTTCATGCAACACACGATTTGCATCATGGAGGGTTTGAACAGTTGCTCTATTAATTTTACTTTGAAGATAGCTCAATCTGCTCGAAAGATCTGGGCGTGTGTTGGTTGCAGCGTATTGAAGACTGCCAATCAATGCTCGGAGGCTGTGCTTCTCTTCGCAAGTGACAGGTTCCGTCAGGCATGTTCGCCTGTTGGCATTCATATGGATTGGCTCTATTTTGCTGACATATTTGCTTTGAGACAAAACAATACTTTGGTCTGGTTGTTGGGATATGTCGACTCCTGTAAATGTGAACTGGCCTGTCTTCTTACTGCCGAAAGGAAACTTGGCCTCGAGCTTGGAGATCTGTTGATCGAAGTACTCATCACCCCCACACAACCCGTCGTCGACGTGAACCCCAAGCACTCCTGAAGGTGTATTCTCTCCTGATTTGTACAGGATGTATGCACATGGATCGAATGGTGCTGGGGCAAAGTGCAATTCTTGGAGGGTTCAATCAAGTTCTTTATGCCATAGATATGGTGCGTCAATCAATCCGTCTGCAGCGTGCAGACTTTTCTAATTTACATACTTGACCTGGTTTCAAGCTCATCGCCTTTCGGAGTTCCTCAACGGGTTCAATGGCCAGGATTCTGTTTT